CTCTTTTCTACCGCTAAGTATGTGGTCGGAACTTCAAACTTCGTTTTTAAAAAACTTTATTTGATTCCAACAATAGTTTACATGGTCCGAACCGGAATTACAGTGTCTGATGAGCTAGTAAAAAGGAATACAATGCAATTATTATATCAATTAATAAAGTGCTAAATGACGGCAACATAACTCCTCCACCCTCAAGATGAAGTTTTGGAGGGCACAAACAAAACTTCGTGCCTCTGGGGTTGCATTTCGATTTCTTCTAACTGCTGGCTTCTTCTTGAATGGGGCTTTCATCGTCTGAGTGAATAGTTACGTTTTCAACTCGTTCACTCAAGTCTAGCAAATTGCGTACTGTTTGTTCATCACCTACATTATTTTCTATAGACGTTTGGTCATCTGCAGGTTTTTCGGAAAAGTCTTTATTGAAGGTTTTCATGTATCGGATAAATGGGGACTCTTCTTCATCTTGGATTTGTGATGTAGAAGGTTGTGGGTCAATTTCGGTAGCGTCAATTTGAATACGAGAAAGTGCATCAGCATTTTTATTTTCTTTACCTTTTTTGTATATAACTTCATACTCAAATTCGGATAATTTTAAGCGCCATCTTTGTAATCTAGAATTTGGTTCTTTTAAACTCATTAACCACTGAAGTGGTTTGCAATCTGTTACAATTTTAAATTTTCGTCCAAAAAGATAATGTCTAAAATACTTAGTTCCATAAACTATTGCTAAACATTCTTTTTCAGTCGCACTGTAATGTTGTTCAGAATCATTTAGATGATTTAGATGCATAAGGCATCAAAGAATTAACATCCTTTTTTGGAAATTGCAATGCAAGAGCTCTTAAATGTTCTGTTATAGTGTAGTGGAATCGTTCAATAGGTGAATTACTATTTGAATTTTTGGAAGTTGTAAAATGTAGCTTTATCTTATGGAGTTTTGCAAACTCTTTTATTAAGGAGTTGTTGAACTCAGTACCAGAATTTGCTACAATTTGGATGGGCAAACCATGAAATGACATGAATTTGATTAAATTGTCTACAACAGAGATAGCATCAGCTGCTTCGATTGGGAAGGCTTGCGCATATTTTGAAAAATTGTCAATTATTGTTAAAAATTTCTTATTGTTAGCTTGATATACATCTAAGTGAACAATTTGGAATGGCATTTTAGCTGTCGGGGTAATCTCAAATTCAATTCTAGGTGGATGTCTTTCATATTTGCCTTGCTGGCAAATATCGCAAGTATTGACGTATAACTTCACGTCATCATCAATGTGTGCCAATAATATTTTCTTTTAATTTGGTTTACAGTCTCAATGATTAGTTTTGGTTTCGTGATTATACTTCATGATTTCCTCTTGTCTCAAAACGTCAGTAATATTTTCAAGCTTTTTACTGCACTTAACTAATTTGAACGCAGAATTTTTGAATGTATTAGATACAAGGTTCGCGAGATTTTTATACATTTCGTCGTCAGGATTATCTTCAAAATAAAATGCATAAGTACTTTTTGGTACACCGTAGTCTTTCAGAAAGTGTATAATAGGAGTTAAATCACCATTAACAATATACAATGTGTATAAGAATTTCTTCGGATCCCATAAGGTTTGAAGTGTGAATTTTCTGGGCATAATAGCTTTTTTAACAAAAATTTGGTACTTGAAAACATTGATAGGTTTTTCTACAGGGTTAACTTATTTCTTCAGTCGTACCGGCTCGTCACGGAGGTTCGTGATTCCTAATTAAGAGTTCGGACTCAAGGGCTAATCGGCGAAAATCCCTTTGGGGATCCTACTGCGGGCTGCGCCAATTATGTGGTAGGAACTTCAAACTTCGTTTTTAAAAAAACTTTATTTGATTCCAACAATAGTTTACATGGACCGAACCGGAATTACAGTGTGTGTGTTCGCTGTGACTGAGATTGAATGACTGACTCATAATTAAGATACAATCGTTAATATAAACCAAAAGTGATGAGCTAGTAAAAAAGAATACAATGCAATTATTATATCAATTAATAAAGTGCTAAATGACGGCAACATAACTCGCTACACCAACGGGCTTCGTTCCTCAGAGCTCTCCTCCATGATGCCACCACGCAATGTGCTTGCCAGACAGACTTAGCTGGCTATGGCCTCCCATCCTGACCGTGTCGCACTTCGTACATCCAGAACTGGCCGGTACGACCGCTCCTTTGTCCCGAGGGTGTCTAGATTGTGGAATAATCTACAAGAGGAAGTGTTTCCCAGTTCTACTAACCTTAGGCAGTTCAAAAAACGTATTAACAAAATTTCTTTGGGATCATCATAGCAGCCGCGGTGTTCCGGAATTTAGGTTGCTGCCTGCGCGGCTGCTTCGATATAAAAAAAAATATAATCCATGCTCGATGCTATTCAGAGGAGGGTTGTCCGACTGACCGATCACCCTTCTCTAATAGACGTCTCGGGACCCTTTTGCTCGATCAGACCGTCGGCGATCTAGCTTTCTTCTACTGCAACGCCAACGGGCTTCGTTCCTCAGAGCTCTCCTCCATGATGCCACCACGCGATATGCCTGCCAGACAGACTTAGCTGGCTATGGCCTCCCATCCTGATCGTGTCGAACTTCGAACAACCAGAACTGGATGATATGACCACTCCTTTGTCCTCAGGGTATAGGAATTGTGGGAGAATCTACATAAGGGGCTTTACCAGTTTCACTGAACTTAGGCAGTTCAAAAATCGGATTAAGAAATTTAAAAGTAACTTTAACTAAGACTACTACTAGATAGTTTTTCCCGGAAGGTCTACTGAAGAACGGATCTAAAAATGCTATTGTGGGATGAGGAAGAAGTAAAACGTTGAACAATAATTATGGAAGAATGATTAGCACAATGTTTTCATTATGTCTAGCAATGGCCTTAATCAACAATCAAGAGTTGAACAATCAACGAATATAAGTTCACAATTCAGTATTAATGACGTCATTCCTGTTAATGACAGGATATTTGAAATTATGGTCAGCCGATAGAGCAGCTGTGATAGTTGTCAGATAAGGATGTCAGGTTAGGAAGAATACAAATCTTCCACGATGTTTTTTCATGGTTAGAGTATACATTTCTCAGCCAGATTGTATCACATCCTATTCATTGACTAGTGAGGTAATGATTTTACCAATAGCCGGTTACTAGACATATTTTATCAATTTCAATGTATACTAAGTGACATATAAATCCGAACACCCAGTTTAAATGGTTTTATTTTAATAAAAGTTGGTGAATGTATTTATCTTACTGTAAATAACAAGTGAAAAAATGTTCAGCCTTATCAGTTGGACATTCCGGTTTTTATACTGCTTTTTTTTAATTCACTAACGCTCTAAAAATGAATATTTCTGCCGCAGTAAAGAATCAACGTTGGCGGCTTTTGGTTCTTGACATCCTTTACGATCGGTTAAGATGCCTAGAGTACGGAGACCTGTACGATTTCGTCAACTTAGTGAGTTTGATAGGGGCCGTATAGTGGGACTTCCCGTTTCTCCACTACCAGGTCCATTGCAAATGAATGGTTCGCAGAACACGGAAGACCTATTGGCATGCGAAGTGTTTACCGATGAATGAGAAGTTTTGGCTTGTTTTCATACCGGCCACACTGGGTCCTCCCTTTAACTCGAGAACACCGACGTAATCGCCTTGAGTGGTGCAGACAACGCTCACTCTGGGATCAGGAATGGAACAGTATTGTTTTTAGTGACGAGTCCCGATTTTGTTTAGTCAAGCACGATGGTCGTGCCAGGGTTAGAAGGCGACGTGGTGAAAGGAGGAATCCACAGTTTTTTGTTGAAAGACATGTTCATCACACTGTTGGAGTTATGGTTTGGGGTGCTATAGCTTATGGTTCCAGGTCACCTTTAATCTTCATCAGAGGTAACATGAACGCGTAGCGTTATATCCACGAAGTTCTAGAACCCCATCTTTTACCCTATATTGACACCCTGGCAGATCCAACTTTCCAACAAGATAATCCCCGACCACATGTTGCAAGAGTCACAATAGACTTCTTTCAACATAATGATGTCACATTGTTACCATGGCCACCAAGATCTCCCGACTTATCCCCAATTGAGCACGTGTGGGATATGATGGCTGGGAGATTGCTCAATTTGCAACGTCCTCCTCAGACTCTAGAAGCACTTCGAGAGGAGTTGGTGGTTGCCTGGAATGAGATACCACAGGAGGACATTGACCACCTGATCAGAAGCATGCCTAGGCGCGTTGGAGAATGCGTAGCACATCAGGGTGCATCCACACATTATTAAAGGTCAAAGGGCTTTAAAGCAGTGCAATCATTTTGAAATTTTTATCATTTACTTATTATGCTTCATTAAGTACTTATACAAAATTTAATTAAAATAAAACCATTTAAACTGGGTGTCCGGATTTATATGTCACTTAGTATATAATACCTCAATTTGTTCAGTTTCTGAAGGAAGCATGGCTGACATACCCGTACCATTGCTGCGCATTCAAGTTTCCGCAAACTCACAATCGTGGAGAGTACGAAAAGCATGCTAGGTTTGTTGAGCAGCTACATGAAGCCTGCGATTCGAAGAATACTGCTGTAGGAAATATTTTTAAGGTGAGAAGTTATTTTATCAACGATATACGATTATAATATTTAGGGGAGACTCGGGCAAAGGAACCACCTTAAGTCGCCAGCTTTTAAAATCTTCTATTAAATCCTGATTATTATTTTTTTAATTTGAAATAAGACTCTATTACATTTAGAAACAAAATATGTATTATAAAAATATATAATTATAGTGATATATCTTTAAAAAAAACATTAAACGAAAACATGCTTTTGATTCCTTTTGCCCACATATGAGGGCAATAAGAGCCAACGCCTCGGACAAAAGTAATCAGCATATGAAATACATGTGGGCAAGAAGAACTTTATTTCAAACATAACTAAAAGTGGAAGTATATTAACAGTTATTTTTTCAAGGAAATCAAAACTGATAACTTGCATTTGTCGCAAATATAGATGCCTCTGTTGTAATCAGCACATAATTGATGAGCCCAGTTTTGACACATATTGCATTCAATCCATGTTTCGCCAGACTTAGAGTTGCCTAAAATATCTCCGCAGTCGAGGCATGGTACATTTTCTTCATTATATTATTTAAATAATCAAAAAATAACTGCACTTGGGGCCTGTTAAATCCACAAGCCCGGGCAATGCTTGTAGGTTATGGAGTTCTAAGGCTTAATTCGAGATAGCGCCTCATAACATTTGAGTACCATTTCTCCCCAGCTGTTCCATTACGAAAATGATGTGGCAAATTATTTCGATTTGCGAACTCAAATGCTAAAATGCATAAGTCTTGTTTTGTGAACCCATAAAAACGGGCGTCCATTTCTTGAATATGTTGTACAAGTTGCTGTTCTATATCGCCAGAAAAAACTAGTCTAAACCGTTGTTTTTTTGGAGGGCTGCTTTAAAAAATGTTTTCGTAAAGTGGGATATGGTATTCTAAACTGCAGAGCGGCACCGCGAATAGATGTTTCTCTTTGGTTAATTGAATTTATTGCGCGATTCATTACGTTTTCGTCCCATCCTTGGGCTCTTTCTGTTTTTCGTTTATACTTGAAAACGATTATTCTGAAACAATATTCCACTTTGGAAAAAAAGTATATCCAACGGAATAGCGGGCAAAAGGAGTCGGGCAAATGGAACCGGTTCTTTTTGCCTGGTTCTTATTGTAGGTAGTAGGTATACAACACATTGAAATATTATTTATAAATGTCAAACCCTTGAACAGCCCCACAATTAATGTGAGGTTACAATCTACACAAAACGTTATTCATCGCCACATAATTCAATGCTTCAACTTATAACAATACCAAAATAATTTCCATCTATTTAAACCATGATCAAGAATTCAAGACGGTTACATTTTCTAAATTGGCGGTAAAAACATGAAAAATAAGCTTACCGGGATGGGTATCAAATCAAGCACTGGAGAACTACAGTATCTGCCAGAAGTAAATAGAAAATAGTGGCGGGAATTTTGAAATAATTTTTCTTTCAACTGATTCCTTTTGCCCTTATGGTTCTTTTTGCCCGAGTCTCCTCTAATTTAGATATAAAGACAACTCTACCCGGACGGAAAAGTTAAGGACGTGAATCTCTCCTAAGCCATACGGAGTGGATTCTGGTGTTGTTTTTGCTTCCATAGTAGTAGAATAGTAATTTGGCCATTAGGAGTTTTAATAATAATTATCCAATACAACAGACATACTTAGTATTTTCACACATTTTGTTAAGTGTACATTTTATTCGGAGAAAAAGTACTTAGAATCAACCTGATATTCAATTGAAAAGGCCCGTTCAAGTTTTCATTATGATTCGCCTTAACCTTTCCATATACATGATCTCGTTGAATTTGCATGAAAAAGCTCCATGGTAAGTTCGAAATTTGTTGTTTTCAAAATCACCAATCATCAAGATTATGCAAAGCGAGTTATTCTGCTCATTGATTAACGAATTCCTAAAGATAGCTTAATGTATTTCAACGTCCAAAAAATTAACGGAGATAAAATGAGATATATAAGCATCAACTACATGAGCATGTGACTATACTACAACTATTTAAAACTGTAATGACTCATACGCGTGATCAACACGTGATCAGAGCTCGATCCCGGCTTCCTTCCAGTACAGCCGTATAGCGTACGACATATGCGGTGGTCAACAGCACAGACAGAGATGGAAATAATGGCTGATTGTTCTCCGCCGGTAGAACCAAAGAAATCAAAGACGCGCCTCGACCGGCAGACTCATAGACGTCGGCAACGCATTGGAACGTGTTTCGTTGAGCGATCGCATATTGTGTGTTTTTATAAGAATTGTTGTGTGATTGTTATTGTTGTGGTTTCTGTGGTTACTGTTTTGGTTATACTTAACCATGGAGAGTACAAATGGCATGAGTGGAAGTACTGAAAGCCAGGGAACAAGTAGACGGCTTCGTAAAGCACTGAAGAGGGACGCGAAACAAATCGTGCTCAACGTGTTCAATTATCTGAACAAAATGTATGGGAATAAGAGGCGAGTTGTTACTGTGGATTAAGGCTTTTCTCACCGGGAGGACTTTCTCTGTGCGCGTCAGTGATAGCCAGTCTCACCTTCATCATGTAGCAAGTGGAGTTCCTCAAGGCTCTGTCTTGGGGCCAGTGCTGTTCCTTCTGTATACAAGTGACCTGCCCGCATTGATTTCCTCCACATGTTCAGCTTATGCCGACGACACCAAGATTTACAATACTGTCGTAAATTCTGCTATGCTTCAACGAGATCTTGATATTGTTTGTCAATGGTCAGTCAGTTGGCTTTTACCCTTAAATCTAACTAAGTGTTGTGTCCTTCACATCGGGAAGACAAATCCGCGATTTACATACAAGATCTCTGACCACAACATCGAAGCAGTTTCGAGCCACACTGATCTGGGCGTTGTAGTCAACGATCGTCTTTCCTGGTCAGAGCATATTCACCACGTTACATCAAAAGCCAAGAAACTTCTATATATGCTGGAGAGGTCTTTCAAAGGATCCGATGTCAACACTTGCGCCTACATTTACAAGGCATTCGTGAGGCCAATTCTTGAATTCGCTGGCCCGGTATGGGACACTGTGCTTCTGCGCGATAGAAATCTCGTCGAACCAGTACAGCGTCGGGCTACTCGTATCCCTTTTGGAGCACGAAGACCAAGCTATTAAGATCGCCTTGAATTATTCAACCTGACCTCATTCTCTGAGCGAAGACTTCGTGGCGATCTCATAGTTACGTTCAGGATACTTCATGGTTTGATGGGCACCAACCTCATGCATCTATACCATCTGTCGCGCAGCAATCTACGCGGACACAGCTTCAAACTGCATAAGGAGCCATTTAAAACAACAGTCCGACAGTGGTTTCTTCCCAACCGCATACTCAACACCTGGAATAGTTTACCTGAAAGTGTGGTTGGTGCTACTTCAGTTAATAGCTTCAAAGTGCAGTATGATAGCTGGAGGAGTGTAAAAACTTTATAGCTATGAACTGTATTTTTTTATTTTTTTCTATTTGATGTATTTGTGTTACGTGTCCGTACACTATATTTACTACATGAGCTTATAGTACTGTGTACTCTGCTCATCTCAATTATCATAATAATAATAATAATAACTATGTCGCAGGGAGATGCACCCGCGCGTTGTGAACGTATGACAGGCGTTCCAGAGTGGACCATTCGCAGGGTGGTGCATGAAAAGAAGAAAACTGGAGCTACTACTGATCCAAAGTTCAATTTGAAGGGACGAAAGGCCGTTAAATTGGATGACGATAGCAAAATGGCGTTAAGGCGAACCGTACATTCATTCTTCTTTAGGAATGAGATACCAACCCTCAAGGCTGTACATGCAGCGATCAAGGAAAATGAAATTATACCCCAAATGAGCGTCGAGGTAATGAGGAAATCCCTGCACGAAATTAATTTTCGTTACGAAACGCGTAATCGGAAGTCAGTATTGATAGAGAGCCCTGAAATAGTCGCCTGGCGTCGAAAATACCTACGCGAAATTATTGAATATAGGCGACAAAGCAGAAAAATCTATTATTTGGACGAGCCATGGGTAAATGCAGGTCACACAGTTGAAAAAAACTGGATAGACAAAAACGTAGTGAGTAACCGACAAGCAAGCATTGAAGGTTTGTCAACAGGTCTTCGTGGACCGTCAGGGAAAGGTCAAAGATTGATCGTAACTCATATTGGTAGCGATAGTGGCTTTTTAGAAGAGTGTGACTTGATTTTCGTCTCTAAGAAAGGAGGTGATTACCATGATGATATGAATGCCAGCTGCTTCGAGAGCTGGTTTCAAGGGGTGCTTCAGCGAGTTGAGCCCAACTCTGTGATCGTCATGGATAATGCTTCCTACCATAGTCGTCGAGCCGAACGTGTACCGACTATGGGATCTCGAAAAAGTGACATGCAGCAATGGTTGCGCGAAAAAGGAATCCCGTTTGACGATTCATGTGTGAAAGCGGAATTGTATGAAAAAATTAAACAGCACAAACCTGGGAACATTAGTTACGTGACTGATGAGATGGCCCGTCAATGTGGTGTCACTGTGCTGCGGTTACCGCCCTACCACTGTGAACTGAACCCAATAGAGCTCATCTGGGCTCAAGTGAAGCGTTATATTGCGCGCCATAACACAACCTTCAAATTACCAGACGTTAAGGTTTTACTTGAGACTTCCATACAGCTAGTAATGCCCGAAGCTTGGCAGAATGCTATCCGTCATGTTGTGAAGGAAGAAACAAAAATGTGGCAGCTTGACCACCACATCGACACCATCATAGAGCCAGTTATAGTCAATTTCAACGAGGAAAGCGATAGCGACAGTTTATTACTGTCAGATGTAAGTGGAAGCGACGATGAATAAAGGTAATTCCCAAATTGACTTACAATATGTTTCAAACCACTCTTTATTAAGCACGTGACAAATCTAGTTCACCCATGTTAAACATTCATACCCCGCCTATGAACAGCCGACTACTGGTAGTTAAGTGATGTTCACGTGAACATCGATGAGTCATTACAGTTTTAGATAGTTATAGTATAGTTTAACGTTTAGAGAAGCAACATTACATAATATCGTGCCTAAACAAATAAAAGAATGCCTTCATCACGTCAAACTAAAAAAAGATGTGAGGTCTGTTCTACGAGGGATGTCTTTTAAGTTTTGCATATGGAAATAAAACAACACGGTAGGTAGTTTTAAATGACTTTATTGTTATTCGAAGTATTCTCCATGAAGATTAATACACGTCTGTATGCGCTGGAACCAATTATCGAAGCACCTATTCCACTCGTTTGCTGGCAGATCTAAAACGGCATTTTTGAATGCGTCAACTGCTTCTTCTGGTGAATGGAACCTTTGACCACGCAGTCTGTTTTTAATTTTTGGGAAAGTAAAGAAATCGTTAGGACTTAGATCGGGACTATATGGAGGATGGTCCAATAATTCCACGTTTTCTTCCGTTGAATACTGCCTTGTTTTTTGGGCTGTGTGCGAGCTTGCATTGTCTTGGTGGGGGATGATTCTTCCTTCGAGGTTGATTTTTCGAAGCTCGGTGATGACTTTTGGCAAACAAATGGTGGTATACCAATCCGCAGTAACAGTTCTTTGCTCATTTACAAGAATTGTTGCAATATGACCCGCTTTTGACACAAATATCGCGACCATCTTTTTAGAAACACTTCGAGAACGGATGACTTTTTTTGGCTTTTCTTCATCTTGGAACACCCAAACAGCCGACTGTCGTTTATTTTCCGGTTCATAACAGTAGATCTACACGATTCATCACCACTAACAATGCTGTACACTTTTTTTGAGTTTCCGGAATTGTAACGGTCAACCGTTTTTTGACACCAATTAACCCTGGCTGCTTTCTGCTCTTCAGTCAACAGGTGAGGTATCCAACGAGAAACCAATTTTCTTATTCCTAATTCTTCATGTAAAATTTTTTGTATTGAGGTGTTTGAGATCTTCAAGGACGCCTCAATCTCGCGATATGTCACATGTCTATCTTCAATTATGAGCTTGCGGACAGCATCGACGTTTTCCTGGGTGACTGCCGTTTTTGGTGGAGCCACCCTGAGATCGTCGCTAAGACTCACCCGCTCACGTTTGATTTTCCATACCAATGGGAAATTGTCGACTGATATGGCGCTTTGTTGCCGAAATCAGACAGTAACTCAGCAAGGCATTCTTGTCTCTTGTCTCTCAAAGTTGTAATAAATTATGGCGCGAAAATATTCTCGATTGAGTTCCATTTTCTAATGACTTGGTGACAGTTAAAAATTCACTATAGTGAGAACTCTGCACGTATTGTTCTGAAACATTGAATTTAAGTTTACTAAAGAGTGAGGTTAATATTCGTTGCTGACGTTCGATCCGCGCGGCGTACTATGTTTCTATATGCAAAACTTAAAATACATCCCTCGTATGATTTATTTATAATAAATAATTTAATTCATTTTTCCTGATTTCGACCACTCACCTAACATTGATCACAAACCTAAATTTTTCTTTCCTTTTTCCTTAATTTTGTTTGGTGCTTCAAACCCCAGCGCAAGTTGCTTATTTTTGAAACTTCCTGCTGACTGCACTCTACATTTATTTCATTATGTTGTTGT